TACAATATATATGTTTGCTTTCCTTCATAAGTTGAAGCTTAATCATCTTTTATATGATTTATTGGAGAACCCACTAAAGACTTGAAATGAAGTTAATGACTTTATCTTGTCCATAGACTTTCAATCATCTAAACGATGAGCAAATGATAAGGAGACCAAAGATTTCAAGCAACAAGAAGAGGGAAATGAAGATAATAATAAGAAACATAAAGTTGTTGACTTGGGAGGTAGACCAAACTATTTTAATCCCACCCATAAATGTGCAAATTACACTTTATTGAACTCATGTAAGTTACACATATTGAGCTAGATCCAACATGTAATAAAGCGACTAGCCCCAATATTATTGGACCCAGCTTGAAGAGATAAAGTAAGTATTGTAAGTATCGTCTTGACTATGTTCATTATACTGAGGATTGTCATAACTTGAAAGATGAGCTAGAATTTATAGCTCGAAGTATAAGGCTAAGTGATTACATACAAAAACCTTTTCATCAGTAGCCTAACTAGGCTTACTTTGTGCAACATTACATTCAACCTTTGTTGCCAAGATATCAAACAAGCATTGAGTAGGGAGCTTATTAAGGAAATTTGTTCTCCACTAAGGGTGGTACAAATTTTAAAGGTTGTCATAAATAGAAGGAGAAGCCAATGGTAAAATATAGTAGCCCAAAATAAAAGAGACAATAAACAAGTGGGATACACTTGAATTCCTTTGCTAACGAGCACCAAAAACATGATCTTTAGAGGAATGTATTCAAGCAGCCAAAGTTCTCAAGGTTGAAAAGCTTATGCTTGTCAGGTGATGATGCTAAATAAGAAAAGATCTTTGAAGCGGTTAAATGGTAGAATGCGACCATAACGTTTGGGTCATATGATTATAAGTGACAAGAAGGAAAACCAGATATTATCATGCACATAAGAAACATAGGAAACAATAATGTCAAAAAGGTTTTGTTGATACAGGCAGCACGCTAGACAATTTCTATTGGAAAGGTTTCTAGAAGATAAGTTAAATCCAACCTCGGTCAACTATGAGGTCTAATTTATGGGTTTGACAACCAACCCATTTTGGTGAAAGGAAGAATTGCTCTATCAATCCATGTGGTCATTGAGTCAAGGTATATGATGACGTCTATTAATTTCTTGGTAGTGAAAATGAAATCTACCTGCAATGCAATTATTGGAAAAGGCACTTTATGCGAGATAAGGGTGGTCATTTCCCAACTATACTTATGTATGAGATTCCCAACACTACATGGTATATGAACATTATAAGGGAATTAGAGGATGGTTGGGAGTTGTTATCAAGATACCTTTAAGAAGGTTGCGCTCACTATAGCCCTTTAAGTACCTGCTTTACAAACACCTCAACTTGGTTGACCTACCTTACAAACTATGAACATATGTGATATTGATCATTGACTTGAAAACATAGAGCAAAAGGCCAAACCCTTAAAGCCTTTGGAAATAGTCTCTTTAGACCCTATTGACCCAACTCAGACAATGTAGATCAGAACTCGACTTTCTAATGATGAGAGAATAGAGCTCCTTGGCTTCTTGAGAGAAAACAAGGATGTTTTTGCATGGAAACCAGACAAGATGCTAGACATTTCAGCTAAATTTGCTATTCATAAACTCAATACAAATTCTACCAAGAAACTAATGGTACAAAAATGCCATCTTTAGCAAGCTGCAGTAGACAAGGAAGTGGATAAGTTACAATGAGCTAGTTTCATACAAAAAGTGGAATATTTTGATTGGGTGTCAAACCCTATGTTAGTTAAGAAGTCTAATGGAAATGAAGAATGTGAAGAGATTTCACCAACTGAAATGATACCTACCCAAAAGATCCTCATCTTCTCCTTAATGTGGAAAAACTTGTGGAAAGAGCAACAACCCATGCATGCATGAGTTTTCTTGATGTGGGCTTAGGTTATCATCAAGTGCAGTTATGGTCAGATGACTAGGAGAAACTAGTATTTTATACTAGGGATGTTATTTGTTGCTATGTCATGATGCCATTGAAGCTAAAGAATGCGGGAGCCATAAACCAAAAGCTTGTTCAACTTATTTTCAAAGCTCAAATTGGTTGAAATGTAAAGGTGTATGTTGATGACATGATAGTGACTAGTTTTTGGGCAAGCGACCATCTAGGTGACTTGAATAAAACAATTCAAACTCTTTGTCAGGCACAAATGAAGTTGAATCCTTTGAAATGTTCATTTGGGGTGGAATCAAGCAAGTTCCTAGGCTATATGGTGTCGAAGAATGGGATTGAACTAAATCTAGACAAAATCTAGGTGATCAAGCAGGTGAGGCCTTCTAAAATAATGAAAGATGTGCAATGCCTAACAAGTTGCTTGGTAGTTTTGTATAGATTTATTGCTAAATCAACAGAAAAATACCTTTTTTTTTTTTTCAAGATTTTGAGAAATCTATAAAACTTTTAGTAGACTGATGAATGCCAACGTGCCTTCAACAAACTTAAGCATTACTTAAGCTTATCGCCCCTTTTCTCCAAACTAAAAGAGGAGGAAAGGTTATACATGTATTTGGAAATTATATCTAACGTAGTGAGCTCAAGGTTGTTAAAGGAGGAAGCAAGTGATCAAAAACCTGTTTATTATGTTAGTAAGCTATTGTAAGGGGCTATGCAAAGGTACCCAATTTTTGAGAAAACAACTTGTGCCTTGGTTTGCAACACTTGGAAGCTTAAGACATATTTCAAGTCACATCAGGTTGTTGTTTTCACTAACTTGATGTTGTGAAAGGTATTACAAAAGCTTGAAATATTAGGTCAACTAATTGGATAAGCCATTGAGCTCAATGAATATGATTTAAAGTTTGAGCCTCACACAACTATTAAAGGTTAAGCCCTCACTAACTTTGTGGTTGAGTGTGTACCCACAATTGCTAAGGACATAACACTTTCATATCCTATTTAACCCTTGTATATAGATGGAGCTACTAGTGTAGAAGGTTTAGGTGCCGGGGTAATATGGATTGGCCTTGATGACTTTAAAAGTGAGCACGCCCTTGGATTTAAATTCCATCTAACTAATAACATCGCTGAGTATAAAGTTTTAATCTTTAGTTTTAAATTGGTGGTGGAGCTTAAGGTTTAAGTATATATGTTTTTAGCGACTTTTAGCTCATTGTGAACCAAGTTAATACTAACTGTGACATCAGAGATTCACAATTAGTTTGCTATTATGCAGTTGTTACTTGTTTAAAGGCAAAGTTCAAATCCTTTTAATTTGATAAGATTCTTTGAGCTAACAAGTTATGAAACTGGCTTCCTTTTAAAATATGTGTTTACAACAGAGAACCTATGTTAAAACTTTGGACAAATTGAGTTGTATTGATTCCTTTGCTAATGTTGATTGTGTGGTGTTGAGCATTAATCCATCTTTTCTAAGATAGACCATACCACTTATTAATTATTTAGAGTCAAGTACATTGCCAAATGACAAGTCTAAAACTTAGTTAGTTAGGCAAAGAGTAGCTCTTTTTTGCATAATTGAGGGCAATTTATACAAGTGATCAACGTTGATGCCTTTGTTGCGTTGTCTTACTCTCTATAAAATTGAATATGCTATGAGGGAAGTTCATGAGGGAATTTGTGGGACTCCCATTGGTAGATAGATATTAGTAGATAGATATTGGCTCAAAAGATTGTGTGGCAATGATTTTATTGGCCATAAATGATAGAGGAGGCTTAAAACTATGTTTGAAAATGTTTAGCGTGTTAGTTTTATACCAAGGACATTCACATGGCAGGTAAAGATGTTCAATCCTAGTTAACCTTCCATAAAGTTTGAATGTGTCTTTCACAAGGATTGAATTTGCCTTTCATCATTTCCCCTTTTTAGTAGACATCTTTCTCTCACTTTTCCTTGGCTATTCACTCAATAGGGCATGAATTTGTTCGGTCTTTTTATGAAAGGCAAAGGTGGCTCTATTGACCTCATTATTGCTATTGATTAGTTTACCAAATGGATTAAATGCATAAAAGCTAAGCCTTTGTCTAGTACAACTGAACAAAAAGTAGAAGAATTTTTATTTAGCTTAGTTTAATGCAAGTACAATTGTGCGATTTTCAACCATATCTGTATGCTATAATGGCAAACATGCTTTTTATCCTACCTATTTGTATATGGGTATAGGATCCTATGGCGTCTTATAGCATATAATGGCCCCCCAATTCTAAGCTACGACTTTAAAGACTTTTTATTAAGGTTATGTTATCCAACTCATCCTTACCTTTATTTATACTCTTTGAGTGAACAGTCAAGCAGAGTCTACTAATAAGATTGTCCTTTGTGGCCTTAAAACATGCCTTACAATAGCCAAAACAAGCTAGGTTGATGAGTTGAACAACATTTTGTGGTTGTACAAGACCACACCCAACTTGGTTACTAAGGAAACCCATTCTCTTTGACCTTTGGAACAAAGGCAGTTATCCCTGTGGAAATGGGTGTAATGAGCTAAAAGACTGATTATGATGATGAATTTACTAATTAGCAGGCCTTTTATTAAAGTTTAGATCTTGCAGAGGAGGTCAAAAAGGCAACGCGTTTAAGGTCACTATCTCACAAAGGGCATGTCGTCAATCTTTATAACAAATGGGTTCAACATCATCAGTTCTAGATAAGTGACCTAATTCTACATAAAACTAGGCTAACCAACGTATACTTTCATTTAGGCAAGCTCACCCCCAATTAGGATGGTTCTTACAAGGTGGTCATCTTTCAATGATCCGAATCTTACATTTTAAAAGATAGTGAGGGTCATCATTTACTGTTCACATGAAACATAGGCAATTTATGAAAATATTATAGTTAGTTTATATGGTTGGCTTTTTTAGTAGATATTGTGATATATAATTATATAACATTGTAGATGCAACTTGTGGTTATCAAAATTTTCTCATGTTCAATGTTTCTGTTTCTCTATTATGTACATTTATTCATACTGAGCTGAATATTGCAAAATATAACAAAAATTGAGCATTATTACACTCTCTATTCATCTACAATTGTTACCTTGTCTTCAAGATTATCTTTAAGGATGACTATAGGCACAAGGATAGTTGGGGCATTGCTGGGTAATGTTTCAGTAGGAGCAACTATTGTTGGCACAAGTGGATGAGAAGGTAGAGAAGAAGAGGTTCCAATCTCTAGATTTAGCATTTCAACCACCCAATCAACATAGCCTTTAGCGAGGTCATGCTCCTCATCATCACCATGCAGGATAAAAGGGAATAAGGGCATATTCTCTTTGTGCAAGCTCCACTTCACATTGACAACAATCTTGAATGGCGGAGCCAAACTTTGCCCTTGTTCATTAATCTCCTCACTCTTGATAAAAGTGAGCTTTCCAATGTGAAGTTAAGCTAGTTCTACAAAACTTTGCCATGAACTTCCTTTTATATATTAATGATGTTGTTCATGATGGCAATGGCAACTACCTCCTAAAAAGCTTTTAACCTTAAAAACCACTCTCCCCTCTGAGCTCAAACAATGCTAATAGAGTTGTGGAATGTGTCTTTCAATTTGCCTAAGCCTAGGCACCTTTTAGTAATTGGCTAATCTTCAATGATTCTAGCTTGGCAAACTTTGCTTTCACGCTACCTAGGTTGCTTAAGGCTTTGTCTATCTCTTCCTTAGCTTTCTTAGCATCCTTTGCAACATTTGCTACTTGAAGTTTGGCTTTCCTCATTATGTCAGAGATTTTTCCCTCTTTTTGAGCTATGCCACTTAGTTGGCAAGCTTGCCAACCTTGTTCTCCACAGCAACAACAACTCAAGCAACTATCTTTGAGCTTTGCAAATGATTCACCTTCTTCGTCAGGTTGGTTTTCTCAATAAGTAGGATCTTGAAGTCATTTGGCAAATTGTTAACCACTTTTGCTGTAGGTCATCATATTAGTCCACTTTACGCATATAAATATAAACAAAGATAACTAAAATTTCACTTACATCCATCAATTTGGTCATGAAAACATTGGTGCCATTCTTCTGGATAAACTTTTGTCCCCTTTTACATTTAAGGAGAGAACAAATTTGTACACAGCCTGTACCATGGCCTATACCATGGCTCTGTAGGACTCTTTGTTTAGGTAACTAAACTCATCTTAGTATGCAACGTTGGGTGCAACCCAATGCATAAATGGAATGCTCTTATGATTTTCGGTGATAAATTCCTTCCCAAGTCAATGGCGAGTTCTTTCCCAAGTCAATATTGATAGTGAATAGATTCTTCTCCTACCTCCCCTCCCTTCCAAGCTCTCCTTTAAGGTTGGCTAGTGGCGATGGTTATCTTGGCACAAGCTATGGTCTGTGCACTAGCTCACCTTTCAACCGACTTCTTTCCAACCAAATTGATGGTTGATTGCCCCCCTTATTAAAACAAGTTGCATATTGTAGATTGAGGTACGATCCCACGACTTGGTTGCGCACTTGTGAGCAACTCATGAAAATTCATAACCCTTTTCGATGTGTAAGTCGAACCAATGGCCTACAAGCTAAATCCCACATGCCTAGATTTAGATCATTAGAGAGCTTGTTCATGTTATGCCTTTAGCTCGCATGCCATCCACTTTGTATAAGTAAAAACAACTAAGACGCAGATTGGCAGGATTTTTTGTTATTAAAAATAAATATATAACTGAGTAAAGATTTTCCACATCCACTAACTCAAATGCTTTCAAGTAGATGAAGGTAACAAATGCTTCCAAGTCTATTGTTCCTTCTTTTTAAATGTGGTCGAGGATCTTCCTTCTGATGTCCATATTAATAGATCTAAGGGTGGGATGGTTCATGTATGCGCTCAAGTATGCCACTTTGAAAGATGACCAATGAGTTTGTTATTAATTTGCTCTACTTTTGTATCGCACAAAAATGTACCTCCTTTTCAACGAGATATGACTAGTTTTGATATTGTGGAAAAGAGTCATTTTATCCTTTTCCAAGATGTAGAACCACATTTTCTTCTTTTTGATTTGCCTGCCTTGAAACAACGACTGAAAACATGCTGATCTTATAAACACCCCTAAGGTTGCACACAATGGTACGAACTTAATGATGAATTTCATTGAGTCAAGAGTCAACTATGTTAATGCCAAGCCATAGTCTGCTAGTACATAAAAAACCATTCCAAGAAATAAAAATCTCAAGCCAACCTTAAATTTGTCCAAGTACACAAGAATCAACCCATTTGCAGTTACCAAGCAAGCCTTTTTTGTTTACAGATGCTGCCTGAGCTAACATAGTGCTGGGGATCTAGTTTGTTTTCATCACTAATTGCAGCTTCCTCAACCCCTTAATAATGGCTTTGACATTTGCTACCTCACGGTAAAGAGTGACTTTGAATTTGAACCATGTCATTAAGTCTACCAGCATTAACCTAAAATTATTTACCAGATTTATGCTAAATGGCATCTTTTTCCAGCCTTCTTTGAAGGATAAGTTTTCTTCCTCTCGTTTCCCTTTTCTCAATTGTTTTGTTTCCTCCAATGATGAAATAGTGCTACTTTTTGAATCTATAGTTTCCTTAATATTTGAATTTTCTTAGAATTTGGGTGGCACCGCCATCGCAATGGGTGTAGGTTCAATCACCCTTTCAACACAACCTTCATGGTTACCCCTACCTTGTTGTTGAGCATTGTTAAAAGAATCCATGATTAGCTATTTTGTTCTTGTTCTTGTTTTGTTTTTGCTCGTGCGTTAATCTCAAAAACTTGCAAAATCAAGTGAAAACACCAAGCATAAAGAGAGCAACTATAAGGACAAATGATTCAAATGCCTGGTGAAGTTGTTCTAATTCCCATTTACCCTTTTTTAATTGTCAAATTACGTATATCTTATTGATAGTCTCCATGCCTCTTTTGTAGCCAATCTAATTACTCCACATGGCCATCATTTACTGTTTCAGATTTAAAGTGAAATGATCTTTACTTCTCTTTACATGTCACGTCCCTTAAAATGCTGTGTCAGCATTTAATGTGGGGGCCAAAAGGAAGTTGAATTGAGAAACTAATTCAAATTTCATAATCTTAAAAAATAAGCTCGTAAAGATGAAATCTTAATTCAAATTTCAAATTTTTGAAGATAAGATTGTGCTTATAAAGATAAGATCTCAACTCAAATTTTGATATAAATCTCATAATTCAATTTAAATCTCAAAATCTCTATCAGCTCAGAAAAGGGAGATCTCAATTCAAATTTGGTGCTTCTTGTTATCCACTCATTGTAAGTTAGCTTATTGAGGCCAATATTGGCCCACATTAACAACCATTATGTTTTGTTAACTAAACACGGAGAAGGGGAGTAATGTTTGGGAGGTGGCCCAACATTAACCTAAGGTTAGCCATTAGGCCTTGGAACACAATAAGAATCCAAAAGACAGATATGAATAATGGAAACTTACTTACGTGACTAATGGCATATTGGCAAATGAGGCGATGATGTGTGGCATTGGTGTCATAAATGAGGCTATAAATACCCTTCTCCTACCTCCATCAAAGGTAATAAGTTTACTATGCTTCTCTTTGTAATATCTAATTTCACGAGTGCTTTTTCTAGAGTAAGTGATTATTGCTAACTTGAGCATTTGAGTGTTTTCTCAAGGACACTTAGTCAGGGTTTTCAGGTACTGAAGCAATTCAAACATTCATCAGAAGGTTATAGCTCATAAAGCAACCCCAATATTGTTAATTGTCATCAGCCCCATTATCATCTTTGTGGGCTAGTGTCATTGTTGCTCATCTTACTACACTGCTCACTAGCCTTGCATATGTTATGACAACAACATATCCTTCTACCTCACTTGTGCCCAGGGCCAAAGATAGGTAAAACTAAAAATAAGCATTAAACAACGCCTCTACTTCTCTACTATATTCTTAATAAGAGTTGTTAATCCAAGAGTGAGGTGTTGCCCTACTTTGTAGACTATAGTTACAACTTAGGTATTTTCTTCATATTCTCTCATTTGGAATTTCTTTGTGCATTTGGTGAAAAAAAAAAAAAGGAAAGAAGAAGAAGAAGAGAATTTCTTGGTATTCCTTGAGAAAATAGAAAAAAGAGGAATTTAAATTTTGTGTTCAAGTTCTATGTTACTTGAGCAAGACAATGCGTTTTGTTTGGTTTGCTCCTCATCTTTATTTGTTTTGTAAACCATGCTAAAAAAACTACGCATTTAAAAGGCTATTTGGCGATTTGAAACTAGTGTTTAGTAATGTTGATGATCCTAAAATTTTCAATATATATGTATGAAAATATAAGGAAAAATTAGGAGTAAAAAATGAAAAAGAAAGAAGTCACCACTCGTTTAAATTATAAGATGGAACAAGTCACTTAAAACATAATTTGCATAGAAATCGAGGATTGGGAGTATGATTAAGATTGAGAAATGACATACACACACCTCACAATCTTTCATGTAAAACCAGGTTACAGACTTTAACATTTGAGAATTTATTCAACTGTTATCGTTGTTTGGTTTTCATTAAGTGGAGTTTAAAAAGTAAATGGATAAAATTACAAAGCTTGAAAATACTTGGACTAAATTGAAACAAAAGCAAGAACATGTATGCACAATTGCAAACAAAATTAAAAGTTTAGGGGCTGATTTGATTAAATTTGAAACATGGAGGAATGATTTGAAATTATTTAAAATTTCTAGACTAAATTGCTTGATTACAAAAAGTTTTATGGAAAATTAACATTAAAATAAAGATGAACTCAAATTAAACATAATTAAGCTTGATTGATTAGGAATTAATTAAAATTAATTAAATAATTAATCAAATTAATTAACCTTTAACTAGAATAATTAGATTAATCTAAATATTTTAATTAAAGACAATTGAATCAATTAATTATTTTAGTTGAGATTAACTAAGAGTAAACTAATTTGTAATTTTATACCAAATTAACTCTCACTATTTTACATTTATAATTTAATCAAGATTCTTTCCTTTTTTATTTCAATTCGTAATTCTTGGGTTGGGTCTATAAACACAATTCGTTGACCAAAACGAGTAAAAAACAGATCAAACTTAAGTTCAATAATTGGGATTTTAGGGTTCTCTCTAGCATATTTCATTTTCAGCCAAATAAATTATGCCAAACTTCAATCAAAATGCAAATTTCCAAAAGATTCAATAAAAACTTAACAGAAAAATAAAATAAATATACTTGATTATCATTCATTTTCCATCAAATTTTATACAATTTAACTATAGAATATCAAACACGCACAGAAAAATATCAAAAGAAAACAAACATGGCGGAACTTTCTGGAGAAAGATAAATCCAGATCTAAAAGGAGGGATCCCACCCACGGGATCAGGCTCCGTTCATCTCGATCACTGCATTTTCTAAAAACCACTGTTTTGGGTATACCTAGAAGGAGAAAGAATCAGATTGAAAAGTAACCTTCCCAAAAGTAGAGACCCCAGTAGCAGAGATGACAGGAAAATAAGGAGGCTGGCGATTGCGAGAAGTAAGGAAAGACCTATGGGCTGTCAAAGATGATGCGTGGCTGTCGTGAGGTAGAGACGATGATCTGCTGCTTAAGAGGTTGTGTAATGCAGAAGAGAATGGTGTAGAGGAGTGAGACTGGTGATGGAAGTTGACGGTGAGCAGAGAATGGTGATGGTAATTGGAGAATGGTGACGGTGGTGGTTGTGAAATTGAAAATTCAGATGGGAGAAGAATCGGAGAGCTTTTCTTTAGCAAAAATATTTCTTAAGCCCTCAAGTTTATCCCAAAATAACATTTAAACCCATGAACCAAAAATAAAGCAGATAAGCCCTCCAACTCCACTAACAATACAAATAA